GGGGGGGGGGGGGGGGTTGGTGGAGAGAGGAGAGCAGCTGTTGTTTCATCTTCTCATCCCGGCCTCAGGTAGTAATGCTTCATTTATGTGAAATGAGTCACTAGCCCCCTCTTACTTGAACTTAATTTGAGCATTGTAAAGTGAGACTTCATGGTGATAAAGGGAGGAAACTGTTAGGGAAGAAAAATGGGAAAGGAAGGGGGTCATCTTTGTAGATTTCTTTTACTGCCAGTTTCACATATGGCCTCTGTGCTGGCAACTTACAAAGTTTTAATCTCTTTGGCTTATATCATTTTCTAAAATTCTAGACCATCAGCTCATTATTTTCTGTTAGCTCTAAACTCCCAGTTTAAGAGATCCTGCTACATCTTCAAAATAAAAAATGTCTAACACTGAACTTGTTAGGACTTTCCTTCTGTGAATGGTTCTGCCACGTGGTGGGAATATTTTTTTTTTTTCCTTATGAATATGTGGTGAGTACGGGGTGAAGAAGTGCCAGGTAAAGGCCTGGAGACCATATAAGATAGCAGCAGGGAGTCCACACTTCCCACTCCACTTTAAAGGTTGGCAGCCGTGGGCACTGAACAGTGGTGGTACTGGTAGCAGGTGCCATCCCGTACTCACACAGGCTTGACTCAAGAGAGCACAGCTGATGGATTGCATTCTGAGGAGGGTGTGAGAAGAAAGAAATGAAGGGGAAAAACTAAAATGTTTGTGATACAACGATACCTGAACATCCATCTGGTTACTCTCTGAATCATGATAACGCAAATTTACTTACCCATTAATTTACCCGAGTTTATGAAAGTTAATACCAATATTTACACTGTGGAATATTTTTAAATCAAGTTTTAGACATATTTATATTTTTATTTATTTTTATATTTCAGATTCCAGATGACCTGAGAAAGAGACTAAATATAGAAATGCATGCAGTAGTCAGAATAACTCCAGTGGAAATTACCCCTAAAATTCCAAGATCTCTAAAATTACAACCTAGAGAAAACTTAGTGAGTTCAAATTTATGTTTTGTCAGTTGTTTTACACATCTTATGAGATGCTTTGGCTAAATAATAATGTTGTATTTCTTTTTGCTAGAAGGGTGAAGAAGTCTTTTTGTGGTAAAATATATATAACAAAATGCTGTTTTAACCATTTTTAAGTGTACGGTTCAGCATTAATTACATTCATAATGTGCAATCATTGCCACATCTATTTCCAAAACTTTCCCATCTCCCCAAACAGAAACTCTATGCCCAGTAAGCAATAACTCCCTATCCCGTCCTCCCCCAGCTCCTGGTAACCCTATGTACATTCTGTCTCTGTGAATTTGGTTATTCTAGATGTTTCATATAAGTGGAATCATACAGTATTTGCCCTTTGTGTCTGGCTTATTTCACTTAGCATGTTTTCAAGGTTCACCCATGTTATAGAATGTATTAGAACTTCATTCCTATTCATGGGTAAATAATATTCCATTGTATGTATTTACCACATTTTGTTTACCCATTCATTTGTTGATGGACCCTTGGATTGTTTCTACCTTTTTGGCTCTTGTGAATAATGCTGCTATAGAACCTGTTTGAGTCTCTGCTCTCAGTTCTTTTGGGTATATACCTAGGAGTTGAGTTGATGGATTTTATGGTAATTCTGTGTTTAATTTTTCGAGAAACTAAGAAGTCTTTAGTAAGCAACACACATATTATGTATATTGTGCCAATGCAAATATGATAATTTAGCTTTTTTTTTTATTATTAAGTAAGCTTTACACCCAATATGAGGCTTGAAATCATGTCCCCAAGATCAAGAGTTGCATGCTTTATTGACTGAGCCAGCCAGGTGCCCTGATAATTTGGCTTTTAGAAGATAGGTATTTTTGCTATATTCATGTAATTTTTAAAAATTTTCCCATATTACAGCATTAATATTGCAACCAAAAGAGTGCTAGACTGCTCGCTAATAGAGTATTATCACCTGTACCAGTTTAGTTTACCAGTTCTCAGAGCACTACAATCCAGGAAAATTACTGTTTTCTAGGTTTTGAAACTTCCAAACATGACTTTATCCTTCTCTGATTATTTGAATGGTCCTTTTGGGTCTTTAGGATCATGATGGTCATTATAGCATGGAAGAGCCATTTTAACAGAACTTTGATGAAACCCCAGATAAGATTGCTTGTATTATGTACTGGAGAAGAGAAAAATAAATAGAATAAATGCCATTTCCACAATAGTATGGAACTGAACATTTAACACATTGGCAGAACTGTACACAGTGATTTCTAGTTTTAACTTTTTAGCTAACTGATCTTCGTATTTTTCAAAAGTTAGGTCTTGTGTACAGACATTTGACTTTTTTTTTTTTTGTCTCAGTATGAGGCTCTTAGTGCAGAATTCCTTTTTTAATCCTGAGTTGCATATTTTAGTGGAACTTTTAGGATGTTGGCAGGTGTCTCTGGGGTGATTATATCTCTTAGGACCTAAACATGTTTGATTCTAGAGGAACTGTGAGTTGCTTTCTGATTCTTCAGGTCTTGATTTTAAATATATTTTTTTAAGTAAACTCTACAGTGGATGTGGGGCTTGAACTCATGACCCCAAGATCAGGAGTCTCATGCTCTACCAACTGAACCAGCCGGGCACCCGGTTTTAAATAGTTTTCATTTTCATTTTCAGACTTCCTTTAGGTCTTTAATCCCATTGCCCAATAACATCGAAAGAAGTGACAGATGGTTTCTGTGATCTTTAAGAATGGGAAAGCGATGCCTGTACTTAGTTTAGCCTGCTTTTGTGGTGATCAAGTTCTAAACCAAGCTTAATCAGCAGAGCTAAGCTTGACTCTGGATGAATAGAGGCTTATTTTCCTAGGCAGATATTAATGATCTTTCCTATATGAACTTTTGTGTATTCCTGTTTTTGTCTTCACGTAGGTTTTAAAAACTTAAATTAAAAGCTTTAAAAATTAATAGTGTTTTTCTCAGAATTTCTTTATACCTCTTAATTTATTAACGTTACACTTACTGGGTATAACAGTACTACAATCTGCTTAACAGAAAAACAAAGAAAAGTGACTTGAACATACAAAGAATTTATTTTTCTTATGTACAGAGAAGTTTGGAGGAGCTCATAGGTGGTTAAACCATATCATCAGGGACCTAGGCTCCTTTGGTCTTTCTGCCATCCTTAGCCTATAACTTTCCTCCTCTTAGATGCAAGGCATTTGCTGTACGTATAGGCATCACATATGCATTCTTGGCAGAAGGAAAGACACAAAGCAAAAACCTCCTTGCAAGGTTTGTATACCTTTTAATTAGGAAGAGAGGCCCTTCTCAACAATTGCTGATTGCACACTATTGGTCAGAAGGGAGTCACATGTATGTGCACACATATGCACACACAGGTCCACTCTGGGAATTGGAGAGTTTTCTTTCTCACCTCTTTAATAGAGGGAAGCAAGGGAGAATGGAGTTGGAATGGTTTTCCATCCAGTGAGCCAAATTATGGTATATGTGTCACTGGTCCTAGAGGTAGGGAGTGTTAAAACTTTGCCACTTGTGTAAATGTTTCTTCCAGCTTCAGTGTATTCCTTGGGCTGTAATATCAATTCCCAGATCTGTGCCTCTAAATATGAACATCCTTCCTGGTTTTGTTTGGTAAGGTTTGCCTTTTTTTTTTTTTTAATGTTTAAGTTGTTTCTTTTTAGTTGCTCCATTTAATAGATTATAAAATTGAGGTTCAGACAGTTTCATTAATTTGCCCACAGTCACACAGATAATAAATGGTCATGCCAGACTGGTTTGCACCTTGAACTAGCACATTTATTTTTGCCACACTGTTGTAGAATGGGTATACTGTGATTTACTTCCCCAGTCTCCTACCAATGGATACCATCTTATGGTTCTCACATGAAGTGAGCAAGGCTCAGAGAGGTTAAGAAGCTTGCTTAAGGTCCATCAGCCATATCAAGGTTTACATATTAATGTAAGGCGTTAAACTAAGGATGTTAACGTTAAATTTAGGTATTTGGATAATTCATTACTGTTCTTCCCTTTCTCTGGCAGCCTAAAGATGTAAGTGAAGAAGATGTAAAAAGTGTGTTCTCTTCATGGCTACAGCAATGTACCACTACCACACTTCCTTTGATAATATCAGAGGAAGAATATATTAAGCTGAGAATTAAAGATGGTGGGTAAATTTTGTTATTTGGATATTTTTCCTACTAAAGAAGTGAAATATTTTCATTGTTGTTACAACCTTTAATACATGTGAACAGGAAGCATAATAATGATAAGTAAATGGTAGATTTTACATATTGAAGAATGCTTTTATTTAAATTTAAAGAAATTTGAATCTTAAATTATCTCTGTTTCAGTACTAACACATTTATTACTTGTTTTTTTCTTTTTCTTTTTTTTTTTTTTTTGATAGAGTTGGAGGAGTTTTCTCTAAATATAGTTCATTCTTGGGAAAAAGAAAAAGAAAACATTTTTTTATTGAGTCCCAATCTGCTGCAGAAGATCACAATACAAGTAATCATATAACTATTGAATCTTTAATAAGATAATATTTGTCACATTGGATCAATAATAAAGTATGAATTTACCTGTAAGACTTTGCATCCTGAAGTGTATTAGAAACGTGAATGATAAGAGTAAGGAATAACTTGATTTAAAATATTTTATTATATAGTCTCTTTAAGTTATCTAAACAAATTGATTTATCCTAAATTTAAAATCAATGCACAATTAAGTTTCAAGAATAGAATTGATTGTGTTAGCTGGAAGATAGATCATGATTTCAAATTATTCTCATATTGAAACAAAGGAAAACTTAGCTTTTGGGATTTGATTTTTAAAATTCCTATTTTTAGTTGGAGTTCTGCTGCACAACCCCTATTATTTTGTCACTTCTTAAATTCTCAACTCTTCACAAATATTACCAGATCACTTTTCTTCTAGCAGTATTTTAAAAGTGGTCTTTTTTAGAATATTATCTTTTAGCTAGGATATTCACTTCCATTGTTAAAGAATTGAAGATGCTCTAGTCGTTTAGAATTTGAATGGTTTGGAACTAGACCTTGTCTCTACTTTTGAGATACAATTGAAGGAATACCATTCAAAGAAGATACAAATGGAAGAATTTTGGAGAGTAAATATGACACAAATCAAAATTATAAATAAAGATGTATCTGCAAAATGTATGAAGGAGATGACATTCTTTACTGCTTGGATGAGTAAATTATGTTCCTTGGATGAATAAATTATGATTGTCAAGGCTAATTTGAATAATGATCTTGCATGCACAATGTATATTTTCTTGGTGGTGTAACAAAATCAGTAATCAGTTTCCTAGGACCCAAGAAAAACAGGCCACAGATATAACTTTGAAATGTAAAATTGATTTTTCCTTGCTACTGTAGGTCCTTCTAGATCCTATGGTAAAAGAAGAAAACAGTGAGGAAATTGACTTTATTCTTCCTTTTTTAAAGCTGAACTGCTTGGGGTAAGAAGTTATGGCCAAACTAATATGTTTACAGACATGTTTGACATTATCTCTGGCAGGGTTTTTATATGTAAATATTAAAGTAGATGTTAATGTCATTGAATAATCTCAGTAATGCATTAGTAGATATTTTTTCAAGGATTGTTTCTGTTTTCACACCTAGCTTGGTGATTTGCCTTGTCTTCTTAGGTAACTACATAAAAGTCTGAAGCTTATTAGAAATTTTACTTCAAGATTTGATTTGTGAGAAGGAAACAACTGGTTATGACCCAGATTATATGGGCTCGAATAAAACAATAATTCTTAAGAGTTAATACATTTACTTTAAAAGTTAATCTAAAAACATTATTTGAATGTTTAAAAATATTTCAAATTAAGTTATTCCTTCAGCTATTTTATTAATGTACTAATTGGGATTATTTGTGTTTTCCTTAACTTTTAAGACAAGTCTGAAAAGAACCTCGTCTTAACTTATCTCTTAGGAAATATGAGACTCTCGTATAAACATTATATCTCAGAATTCCTCACAGAAACCTTTAGTGGTTATAGTAGCAGTGAGTTGATTTCCTGTAATAGTATAGTCTGTAAATGTTTTAATAAAAGTACTAAACCATAAAGTAACAATGTTTATAGCATAATGCTCATGTAGAAAGTAAAATCTCTTCAGCTCAGATTCTGATTTTCAGAATTTATATTATCAGAAATAAAGTGGTAGAGTCAGGAAGTAGGTTGAAGTTCATGCTTGTATCATCTACAAATTGAAACCGGATTTCAAAGCTTAATTTAAGAGGAAATAAGTCTTCAATTCTTTTAACACTTCAAATGCTCTCATTTATGATTTGTTGTTTGTGTCTGTTAAGACAAATTCCTTGAGATGTCCTGTTAAGACAAAACTTTTAGTTACTGTACATGTTTGAAAGTAATAAAATTAATTTTAAAAGTTGTGACTCAGATTTGGCATTAATTCAATACTCTGTCAACTAAGGGAAACTTTCTAACATTTTACTCTTTTAAAAATCATTAATTAGCCTGGAAAGGAAAGTTTCAGAATTTTTTACAGCTGGATTTTATCCTGCTTCAGCGTTTTATCATGCAATAATGTATATATTTTGCAGAGGAGTGAATTCTTTAGGTGTGTCTTCCATGGAACACATCACTCACAGCCTCCTGGGGCGCCCTTTGTCTCGGCAGCTGATGTCCCTTGTAGCGGGACTTAGGAATGGAGCCCTTTTATTCACAGGAGGAAAGGTACGTAGTTAAAATGTGCCCATTTCACTAATAACTAATTTTATTTTTTTCTTTGAGTTTTGATCATCTGTTATATAGAGTTGTTAATACAAGATATAGGAAGTGGTGATTTAGAAAGTGGTGATGAATAAAATGAATAAGGTGTCATGCTCACTGCCTTTTTTATGTATCATTTGATACAGTTGTATGATTTTTCTTTTTTAGGGTGTTGATAGGGTTGATTTTTTTTCACATGTTGAACCAGCCTTGCATGTATGTAATAAATCTCACTTGGTCGTGGTGTATTTTCTTTGTATACATTGCTGAGTTCTGTTTGCTAAAAATCCTTTTTTTTTTTAATGTTTTAAAAAAATTTATTTAATCTCCATACCCGACATGGGGCTCAAACTCACAACTGAGATCAAGAGTCTCTTCTGACTGAGCCAGCTAGGCACCCCATTATTTGCTAATATTTCTGTTGAGGATTTTTGCATCTAAATTCATGAGCAACAGCCGTTGTTAATTATCTGACTTTAGCTCAGGTCATGATCTCTCAGTCCCTGGGTTTGAGCCCCGTGTCCAGATCTGTGCTGACAGTTCAGAACCTGGAGCCTGCTTCAAATTCTTTGTTTCCCTTTCTTTCTGCCCCTTCCCCGCTCACACTCTTTCTCTCTCAAAAATATATAAACATTAAAAAAATTGTTTTAATTCATGAGCAATATTAGCCTATAGTTTTCTGGTTTTGTACCACTTTTGTGTGGTGTTGCTATTAGGGTAATACTGGCCTCATAAAATGAGTTGAGAAGTGTTCTTTCCTGTTCTGTTTTCTAGAAGAGAGCATATACAGTTGGTATTCATTCTTCCTTAAATGTTTAGTAAAATCTCCAGTGAAACCATCTAGGTGTTGAGATTTTTGTCACCTTTGACTTTTTTTTTTTTTTAATGTTTATTTATTTTTGAGAGTGTGAGCGGAGGAGGGGCAGAGAGGGAGACACAGAATCCGAAGCAGGCTCCAGTCTCCAGGCTGTCAGCACAGAGCCTAGTATGAGGCCCTGACTCATAAACCATGAAATCATGACATGAGACATGTTGGACACTTAACCGACTGAGCCACAGAGGCGCCCCGACCTTTAACTTTAAAAAAAAATTTTTTTATGTTTATTCATTTTTGAAAGACAGAGAGACACAGAGCACAAGCACGGGTGGGGCAGAGAGAGAGGGGGACACAGAATCTGAAGCAGGCTCCAGACTCTGAGCTGTCAGCACAGAGCCTGATGTGGGGCCCGAACTCATGAACCGCGAGATCATGACCTGAGCCGAAGTCAGACACTCAACTGACTGAGCCACCCAGCTGTCCCAGGACCTTTAACTTCTTAATTATAAAATAAATTAAATTTCCTTAATTGTCTTATTTCACCATGGCAGACATTTGGTAGTTTGTAATTTTCAAGGAATTGGTCCATTTCTTCTAAGTTGTCAAATTTATGAGCATAAAGTTGTTTGTAGTATTCCTTTCATTATCCTTTGAATGGCTGTGGAATCTACTGTGGTGTTCCATTTCCTGATTTTGGTGTTTTGCGTCTTTTCTCTTTTTAATCTTCATCAGTTTTACTAGAGTTTCCCTGCCCTTTTTTTAAAAAAAAATTTTTTTTTTTTTTAACGCTTATTTATTTTTGAGACAGAGAGAGACAGAGCATGAATGGGGGAGGGTCAGAGAGAGGGAGACACAGAATCCGAAACAGGCTCCAGGCTCTGAGCTGTCAGCACAGAGCCCGATGCGGGGCTCAAACTCACGGGCCACGAGATCATGACCTGAGCCGAAGTCGGCCGCTTAACCAACCGAGCCACCCAGGCGCCCCTCCCTGCCCTTTTAAAGGGCTTACAGTTTTATTATTTGCCAGTGCAAAATTATTTTCAGAGGTACAGTGTGGTCTCTGTGAATCTTTGTTCTTTTATTCAATTCAAAATTTTAAGACTTTTTCATTTCCATTCACTTTTAACTTTAGTAAAATAGCTCTTTTTCCTGTTACTAGTTCAGTTGCTTTCTTCTGATTCTTACTTAAAATGTAACAGCTACTCCAAGGGTGCCTGGCTGGCTCATCAGTAGAACATGTGACTCCTGATCTTGGGGTTGTGAGTTCAAGCCCCACACTGGGTGTAGAGATTACTTAAAAATAAAATTTAAAAAAATACATATTTTTATATACATATCTATATGCAGTAAAAAATATATATGTGTGTGTGCATGTGTATGTGTGTGTGTGTATATATACACATACATGTATATATATGTGTATATATGTGTATACACCAATAACCCTAGTATTCCCTTTAGGAAACCAGAAAAAAAGAGCAAATTAAGTCCAGTGTAAGGAGAAGAAAAGAAATAAGAATTAGAGCATAAATCATTGAATTAAAGACAGGAAATCAACAGAGAAAAATCAGTGAAACCAAAGCTGCTTCTTTTTTTTTTTTTTTTTTTT